CACACACACACACACACACACACACACACACACACACACACACACACACACACACACAGTGTGAAATCTGTCTCTGGTCTCTCTCAGCTTCATTCATGCATGTCCTGCTCCTCCATGCTAAAGCAAGCATGAGGACAGCCTACTGCTGCCTATGACAGCCACACACATGCATACACACACACACACACACACACACACACACACACACATACATTGTGTTGACATCTACTGCACTGACCAACACACACACACACACACACACACACACACACACACACACTCACACACACACGTATACTTGCACACAGTTCAGCCACAGTGTAATGCCACAGATTTTACTTTATTCATTTTAGCCATGCTAGTGGCACATTTGTATGGATGGCCGTGTCGGTCTGTCAGTTGGTCCACCACTAACTCCGGATCTGTTGCATGTTTCAAGACGACACTTTGTGCAGACATTCATTGCTCCCAGACGATGAATCCTACCGACTTTGAGGACTCCCCTTGACTTCCTGCAGCTACATCAGCAGCTCAAAGTCTTTGCTGATCCTGTAAAATATCTCAACATCCACCCAATAGATTGGCAGTCATTAGCGTAATCCAATGACTTCGGTTATCCTCTTGCACCATCATGAGGTTGACATTGTGGTTTTGAGTGAAATGTCTCAAAACCTATTGGACAGATTGCTCTTGCTGCATGTCATCCCCTCTCTCTCTCCCCATCTATCTCTCACTGTCCTATCAGAATAAAGGCAAAAATGCCCCCCGAATAATTGAATAATTGAATTAGTCCAATATGTAGTTAATATCACCACAATGTGGTTACAACCCATTGTGGTGATATTAACTACATTTCCATAAGCCCTAGCTCTGCTTTGTGTTTGGTGCTAATCAGCAAATGTATGTTAGTTGAAATGCTAAACTAAGATGTGTTAGCATTTCGCTCAAATCATCACCGCTGTGCCTAACTAGCTGCAAGTGTCAGATCACCCATGACAGCTGTTTCACCCATGAGTGACTGTTGAGCGATACACACACATGCACATGAACAAATAAATTCAGCTTTTCTCAACCTCAGTATAGCTGTAATGAACCTGCAGGTGCCAACTGCTGTACCAATGCATACACACACACACACACATACACACACACACACACACATATCTGTGAACATGATACACAGCAGCAGGAGAGTTAGTTAGCCGTGCAGGCAGGACTCTGTGTTTGTGTTAACAGCAGGAGACTGTTACAACAAGACATCCCAACAATAAGGGCTTCCCATGTCACAGAATGAGAGACACAGAGAGAGATCATCACTGTGCGTTTTAACTGAGTCAGTGGAGTGTGACTGCATGCGTCTGCGTCGTTTCTTACATGCTGTGTGTGTGTGTGTGTGTGTCTGTTTCTGTCTGTCTGTGTGTGCAGGTGTGTGTTAAACTTGCATGGGGTTTGTGTGTATCTGTTAAATGCGGAGTTGAGCAACAATCAGTTTTATTTTCTGTTTCAGTAGAATCGTGCCATAAAAAATTAATAACGGTATTGAATTTGGAACTGAAGCAATTAGTCGATTGACTGATTGGTCGATGGAAGATTAAGCTGCAACTATTTTCATAATCAATGGCTTAGGTAACTTGCCAAGCGAAAACACCCCCCACTGTCCGACTGAATCCTCTCCAATGTAAGGAGTTTCTGCTTTTCTCTGTTTTTTTTTATCATTGCAAACTGGAAATCTTTGACATTTTTACTTTTTATTTTAACATTGTACATTATAATACCAGGTAATTAAATTATTTACTGTTTATTTTATATTTTGATCTTTAATGTTGATATTAAAATAATCTCTAATGATACTATTATCAGAATTGGTAGTAATGTTGGTGTTTTGGTATTTTTTATATAACAATAATTCATAATTATCAGTAAAACAGGCTCTGTAGCTCTTTAATTAATGGCTCCATTGATAGTATTAGTGGTGGAGGTTAGTATTTATTGTAAGACCGGTGTATTGAACTGAATTATACAGTCAGGCGTTGCTCTTATTTTGTCTTTCATCATGTGTATATATCAGTGTTTGTTGTGTTACCTGCCATACTCCCAGCTGGAGGGAGGGAGCGAGGTCTCCTGGAGTGAGAGGACAGCTCGCAGCAGGGAGGCGCTCCGCAGGGCTCTGTTACATGTCATACAGTGTGTGTGTCAGCATGCTCAAAGACCTGAAGGCTTCCAAACAACTTATGTGTTCGTGTGCAATATATACACGGTCTCTTTCCTAAGAGGCAGCATCTGACAGTGTGTCAGTGTTGCGATTTTGTTTTTTTTTGTTTTTTTTTATTTTAAAGAGTCTGAATGGTGGACTGCAGTGTTTGATTTTTATTTAGAGCGATACAGGAATAGGCAACAGTGGGCGTCTACACACAGATAACCAGGAACCCACAAGTTGTTTTTATTTTCCTGTTATAACTCTGAGGTTTATTTAGGTATTACTCATCAAGGCCACAGGGGCTTTGAATCTGACAGCCTCACACTCGAACTTAAACTAGAATACTATACAAACTTTACGACAAGCATTAACATGCATCCCAGGCAGTTTTATATAGATAAAAGAGAAGTGTAAATACACATTGAGGTTGAACTACGACTGTATCATCAAACGTCATCAGGAGGTAAATCACGTTTTAAACAGAGTGATACAGTATAAGGTGTAAAAACATCACCAGTTTCCATATAATAACCTGTCAATGGAAATAAAACTAATTGGCTGTGATCTCCTGAATGTTTTATGTCTTTCGTGATGAAGGCACTTTCAGATTATTATACATTATGTTCTTATCTGATGTACATCTTAAAGAAGCAGCTGTCTGACTTCCTGACGATGAGAATTCTCGTCCTTCTGAAGCGTAAAAAGTGCAAGGAAGATCAACGCTGTGCTCAAGTTTGCAAGGCAAAATGAAAACATTTTGTTTAGTTGCAGCATTCTTGAGATAAATCTTTCACGGGGTCTCAGAGAGGCAGTGTAAACCTGTTATTTTGTTTTCCTGGTAAATCTCCTGGCTTTCTGGCAGTTAAAAGAACGTACGGTGTCGGCCTTCACCTTCCACATGTTAGCGACACCTGATGCACCAGGCTGCGTTCCCTCTCCTGCAGCCGTGGAGTGGCTCGCAACTTTTATCAGCCTTTGAGGATTACTTATGCTGGGTGCTCACCCAGGAGGATGTCGTCAGTATAAAAACAGTTTTCAATCAGCAGCCTCGAGCTCTTTGTGCACGTCTTTCAAAACACGAACAGTAAGTTCTGCAGGGCACAACAACACAATTCAGTGCAATCAAAGAGTGTATCTTAAATGCGTGCAAGCTCTTACTTCCTCAGGGCTTAAATTCAAGTACACCAGAGACTTTTACCGCAATGTCTTTACTGTTTTCCCTTCTTTATTTCTCCCTCTTCTTCTAAGCTATGTTTACACCCAAATGTCAGATGCTACTTTTTACTATCAGCCGAGTTGTAGGAAAATCATTTCCTGAAATGTCAACAAATAATCAGAAAAACTTTCAGTGACTGATTAGCCTGCATCTTTCTTTCTTTTTTTTGCACTGTATGTCTCCAACTTTCATTATGTTCCACTTTTCTCACTCAAATTCCACCTGACGGAAAGTAGTTCCTCGGCCTCAGTGACACTTTCCAGCTAAATCAAGCTTAAATTGAATAAATCAACAAAATCCTTAACCTGAGCCCATTTTCTGTGTCTCCCTGCAGAGAAAACCCAGAAAGGAGAAAAGAGGAAACAGAATGGAGTGAAGGAGAAAGGGAAGGAGAGAAGGAAGAGTAGTCCTGAGAAGAAAAAGGAGAGATGGAAGTCAGAGAACGGCTCCCTGCTTAAAGAGCTAGGTACATTGTTTGTTTGTTTGTTTGTTTGTTTGTTTGTGTGTGTGTGTGTGTGTGTGTGTGTGCGTGTGTGTGTGTGTGCGTGTGTGTGCGTGTGTGCGCGCGTGCATGTGCGTGCGCGTGCATGTGCGTGGGTGGGTGGGTGTGCGCCCTGCAGTGTTTGCAGTGTTTCCAAACTGATCAAATACACCTCACTGGCTGAACATATGCCTACGTCTGTGTTTGCGTGTCCATATGAGAATTCATGCTGACAAAAAGTCAGCACATTCATAGCCTTGACGCATCAATAATTTATTTGAGGCAGCGTTTTGATACAATCTCTTCATACGCGAAAGCTGAAAGCAATAATAAAACAACCAAGACAATGTAAAAGTTGGAAATCTCAGGATAATATTATTTCATTTTGGTTTCATCCTGATAAAGACCTGTGTATATGTGGAATCTTAAATAAAATATTGATGCATCAAGAGTGCCGCAACCTTAACAAAATGCTGTTTCATTCTGCTCTTGTCAGCATCCTTTCCATACTGGTGTCAAACTTCATGCATCCATCGTCACTGTTGTCATTCACTTTCTGTCTGTCGATCACTGCAGATCAAGTGTCAGATGGAAGGGTAAAATCTTTAATAGGAGTTGACCGCAGTTCAGCCCAGCAGGTCTGATGTGATGCATCAAACTGTCGGCAGGGGAACATAACTCAGAGACGGACAGACAGGAAAACAATAAAAGTGAGGGAGAAAATCTAGTAAGACTGGATATTATAAAAATGTCATCCCTGTAAATCAGGCAGACCTCCTCTCAGCTTTTCTGTTATTAACAAATCACCATATTTCAGACTGGTAGAACTGTGGAGCTGGATGATTTTAACAGTGTGGTGCAGCAGCTGATGAGGCGGATGGGTACTGTAGTATTTATTGCACTACAACAAGCAAAATTAGGGCCGTAACTTTTTCAAAACATCACTTGAAAGAAAGAGGACTAAAACTTAATTTATTCTTCTGTGTCATGCTCTGTAGCTACACTATGTGCCTCCTTCAAAATGCAACCACACATCCAGGCTACTGTGCGACGACCACCAGCACCGTGACTGGCCACTGATGATGGCTCACAGGCTTTCTTTGCCAGTGGCACGAGATAAGATACGATAGAAATAAGATAGTGAAGAGTGAAGACGACGTGAAACATGTTGGAGAAGAAAAAGAGTGAACTACAGTATCTTCTCATCTGTAGAAACAGACATCCTGCAAAGCCGTTTCCGATGAAACCCTTCGGCTCACACTCACTCTCTTATCACAGGGAATGAAAGACAAATATTGTGCGGAAGGAAATAAAAGCATGACACAGCCCTACCCTATCCCTCCACCCAATTATACCATACCATATACACTGTTCAATGTGAGCATAGAAGTATGAGATGCACCATTCTGTCACACACAGTGAATTTAGAATTTGAACAGACCATTACAGGTTGAATAGTAAATGGTTAATTGTCCATGAGACCCTGTTGTTTTTATGTTAGGTGATATTTCGGTTCACAGTAATGTTATAATTGGGAATCTGCAACAACTACTCACAGAATCAGTGGCTTCACCAACTTTTCCGTTGAATTCTATGTTATTTACAAATTCGATCAGCGATGTCTAAAATATTGCAAAGACACATAGAAACAATATGATGCAGAGCCACTGCCGGTGCCATCAAAGTTGCTAAATGCTGCATTGTGTTTTGTCAAAAATGAAAAGAAATCTGACCAATCATGATTCAAACTTTTTTTCTGGGTAAAAGGAGTGAAAGTTGTGAATACCAGGGATAGAAAACGGACTATAGAAATGATGGTAAAAACTGAAGGGAGAGAGCAGCTCTGTCAGTGTTAATCTGTGTCATTAATCGGCGGCTGGGAGAGAGAAACTGATAGAATAAGGGAGAGGGAGGCCTGTCACTGCCAATCCTCATCATTGGTGAGATGAGGATGGATGATAATGGTTGGCGGTCCTGCTAGAAGGTGATCCATTACCTGCTACTGATCATGACAGTTTCATGTGATGCTCAGAAGACACTCCGAAGATATTAAATGGAGATTGAGCATCCAGATTATACGTACTGTATGTAGATATTTATTCCTAACATTGACAATTTACAGCCGTTTAGCTGACACTCGTATCCATACCGACTTGAAGTGAACGAGGGGATAAAGGCTCAGTGTCTCGCTTGAGGACACTTGATAGTCTGTTGATGGACACGCATGCCGCCGCCGCCACCGTGGTGATTGAATCTGTAGCTTTTAAATTGTCAACACGAGACAAGCCACCTGCCTGACTATTGAGGTGCAAATTAACATTTCAATGCACAGACATCCTCATAAAAGTCAAAAAGACTTACTACTCTGAAGCAGTTTCTCCATCACTAACCGATGAGAGAGGTTTATTTTTTATTTTCCACTGAGCAGAAGTGACATGTTTGGCTCGGCGAAGGCTGTGAGTAACTGTTTTTTGTGGCTGCAAGCTTGACTTTGTCAGGAAATAATCCAGGTTCATGTTAGCGGGGCTAGAAATGTGTTGACTGATGTGTTAAATCAGTGGTGCAGATACCAAAGCCTCTCTATTCAGAAACATTGGAGGTTCATATTTTAAATTGAATGCCTGTCTGTTCATGTCCATCTATTTACCTCTTCATCTGCATTCATTTAGGTAGACAGGCTTGTTTTCAAAGTTGGCACACCGATGTGTCTGTGGAGCCCGGAAAGTCATATTTTTTGACACCCTAAAAACATCCTCAGTTTATTTTTTCAGATGCAGCTGCTTCACGGGACAGTAGAGCAGTGACAGTTTGATGAGAGCTGGTGCTGTTGGTCGTGGCAGAACCAGAGCGCGCTGTCAGGATCAAACGCAGTGTTTCCTCCTTTCCTCTCCTTTCAGGTTATCTCTTTCGCTCTTGCTTTGGAAATGTTTCAGGCCAAAATTACATAACCATGCTAAACCATTCGAAAAAAGATGACAACCACGCATGTGAAGTGGTTGGAAACATAAAGCTCAAATATACAGAGGGGCTTAAAATATAGACTTCTACACTAAAAATACTGAATTATGAGCGGAATGATTTTTTTCCTTTAAGATGCATATATACTGTATGCATAGCAAAATATCTCTTTTTGTCCAAATAATGACATAGTATATACATAGTGTATAGCGTACATATACATATTTAAGAAGGGAAAATTTAAATATTGTTGTTAAGTCCTCCTATTTAGAATTAATAAGCAATTTACAAATATCAATAAATGGTTTATAACACACTATAATAAAATAGTTAGTAGTGTAATAGTGTTTTACTATAATCTTATCTGTTTATATACCAGCCTTTAGTCCTGTTTCCATAAGAGGCTTTGTATTTGTTGACAGATACATTCATGTATTTACAACCACTTTACAGTCGTTTATAAACCATTTATTAGATATTTATATAATGCATATAAATGCTCAATAGGGGCACTTAAACTAAAGCGTTACCAGTAACACTATAAATGTTAAAAAACATACTGTATGTTTGTATGTAATTTAAGTTCTCCTTAGTGTGTAAGAAAACAAAACAATAATTACAATGAAGTTGTGCCACGGGTAGGAAACACACAAGTGATGTGTGTATGTATTGTATGTTTGTGTAGGTGAATGAAATGGGGAGAAAAAAGTCCTCCATTTCTTCAGGCTTCCTCTAAAAACAAACTCCTCCGCTGTGAATAGCTTCTATATGTAGGACATCAAGTGGGTGGATTTGTGGTCTTACGTAATGCTTGATTATATGTATCCAGATCTAAAAGGTTCTGAATATTCCTGCAATGACATTCTGTAAAAAAAATTTTTAAAAAGCTGTGGGCTACGTCGACAATTACTGTACATGATTAATATCCGAGACCCTGAATGAAAATGAGTTCTGATGACTAATTGTGCTCTCTAATATCATTTATCCTCCTTTAATCTGATTTCTTATGTGCTGAGAAGCAGGTTCTTAAAGGTTGCTCCCAACCTTCTCCATAGAGGTCAGAGGTCAAGTCAGCCAAATCCTAGATCGTAAATAGAGAAAAAGACTAATTTCTCTAACAGACACGTGAACGTACAACGCACAAGACACATGAAAAGCATTAGAAATACATAAACAGGACATCTCAGTGCTCCGAAAGCAGCGCTAAAGCAGCACTAAAGCGACATGTAAAATGTGAAGAGCTCGGTTCCTTCCTGTGATCTCAAAAATCGAACATGACAGAACGTTTCTCAAAGCCCGAAAAACCACCCAACAAAGACTCTTCCCGCTGTCATCAAAGGATGAAACCTGGAGCTGCTCTGGTGATAACTAAACTGGCTCTGACTTTGAGGGATTATGTCATTTTGGTAGAAATTGTATACAGCTAGGGTTTAACCTCACTCTCTTGTTAACATTTCTATAACATAAAATCAATTCGTACATCCAGGAAGATTGAGTTTCCACTTTTAGCAGTTTGAAGTTTTGGCTTTCCGTGTCAGCTGCAGCCTTGAGTTTTGAGAAGCAGGCTGGTAAGTGGGAGAAAGTCAGATCTCCTGCATGAATGGGAAATCATGCTGTGTATGCGACTGCGGCTAGACCTGTATATGTTAGACGCTACTGTAATAAAAGGGTGCGCCATTTGCAGGCTGTTTATTCCAGTACACTGTGTGCCAAACCATTCGCTTGTGTGTTAAGTCCACAGAATGGCAATATGAAACACACCTGGCAGTTAAGGTAGCCGGTCTTGATAAAGCTGTCTGTCTGAAAGTGTGTGAGAGTCCACAGCTTTATCATTTGAAAACTAGTAAAACTGCAATGTTTGGAAGCATGTTACAGTCCTCTGCCAGGTTGAGAATGAATGAATTCAGTGAAATTAACATGTAGTTTACCGAAATTGGTCTACGTTTTCTGGATAAGAGTGCTCTGTTGTGCTCTTACTAACATTACGACTCCGGCAGTGAAGAATACCCTCTTCTGCAAAGCTTTTT